TGATTCGTACTCACGTGTCATACTTGCTAAGGCTTACTGTAAGTCTCATTCATTCTCTCAAGTGGATAGGGAAGACAAATTAATTTTTAGATTTCAAAGATGCATTTTAGAAAACACAAAAATATCAAATTGCTATAAAGGTAAACATAAAATCAATGCAATTTATCTGACTTTCTAACTAAACTTTATGTAGGTTAAAAAAATCAGAGAACAGGGTGAATGTGTCTATGGATAAGGAAGGACTTCAACAAAGTGGGGAAAACATGGGAGGAAACACCTTGCAGTACTGAGAAAGGCAAAACATTGAATACAAGGCCACCTAATAACCGGCACTGGTTGAGACAGTTAAATCCTGTTGAACAACCAGGTAAAGGGAAGGGAAATGTCCAATAGTAGGATGATCAGGAGGATAGTAGCAATGGATGGACCATCACTGAAAGCAATGTCCCTCACACAGGTATATGGCCCAGGTAGAAGGATGTATGGAACAGGAAAGGAAGGATTACCAAATTCGAAAGTCTCGTTCAAGAGGTAATGGACTGAACAAATCCAAACGTGAATATGGAAGGACTAGATCCTTTGACTGAAAGGATAAAGATGTTAAAGCAATAAAGCATATAATTGGCAGGAAAACAAGAGGTTTGGTTGTCAGGTGGCACAGAAGATGGAAATAAGGTTAAACCAGTCAGAGAGGTACCACCAAGTGGACACAACAAGAAGTGTTTCTAACAAGGCTAGGACCCATGATAAAAGACAGAAAGGTGGGCGAGCATTATGACGCATATAATATCAGACCTGGTGGAATGCAGTAAAAGCCAAGGATGAAGGACAGATGATCAGAAAAGAGGAAGCATGAAATTGAGAGGATTGGCAAGGCAAGGAGTCCCCAAGAGAGAATCCCCAATGGAAAAACTGTGGGTAGAACACAGTTCACATGAGAGAGGCAGCCCACAACCTGATTCATAGAACCTGGAAAGCAACCAATTGAGAACTGGTCCAATATGACAGATCCAGGGTTTGAAAGTAAGGAGTTGTGGGTTGGATTTCCCCATGGAAGTTAATTTAGGAAAAACAAGGAATCATTGGAATGGAACATAATGAAATGAACCACTGGAAGTGGGAATAATGGTATCATGCCCACCAATCTACCAAAAGTTCAACCACATGAATATGGAGAAAGGATATGTTCTGGGTCCATGTGCCAGATCTAAAACTGTCATTCAAGGATGCTCCTCAACAAGAAAGGGGAAGCATAGTTAAAGAGATGTAGGACTGGTTTGGGTGTAGGTAATGGAACACAAAATGGTGATATTGGATCAGTTCAGCCATCTATACAAATACTAGAATAGAGGAATGGACAGGAGAACCATTGAAGTCAAAGAACCACATCAGGCATCCCTCTGGTTGCAGAATGACAAAATGAGGAGGTACATATGTGTGTGACTCATAGAACACAAGGTCATCAAACTCTAAGCCTCTCATACAGAATGAATTGGATAGGTGCAAATCCTAGTAACTATAAGTTCCATATCTTACAAACAGATGGGAGACGGCTGATCCCAGCTGATAATGAGTTGAAAAACACTCCCTGGTGAACAATATATTGAATGGGAGAGAGGAATTGTAGGAAGTGATGACAAACACAGCCTCCATGAGACATTGGACATAGATGGAAGCAGAAGGAGGAAAGGAAATAAGATGAAGGCTGAAAGGAGGAGAGGGAGAGAATTGTAGAAAAAGTCTGTAGGCAAAAAGTACAAAAAGCCCTGTGTGGATGGAAAAAGGTAACCATAGGGAAAATAGCTTTCTGTGTGAAGTGGTATTGTCTCAAAAATATTGTTTTTGCCCAAAGTTATAATTTTCCTGTACCGAAAATGTATTTCCGATACATACTTACCTCCTCTCACTTAAATAGCTATTCTTGTTCAGTGCTGCCCTCTATATGCAAACATTTTTTGCATATGCCACAAGCCTTGAAGCTCCCACATCTGGAATTTACTGATTCCAATGCATCTCGCATGCAACTCATCATGTTACAACCCTCCACCAATAAGAGTGTGACATAATCTCATGACGCATGTGACTCCCGCTATTCAATTCTACCGAACTATCACTTCTATCACAGCAGAAAATGGAAGCACCAGTTTTCAGTGGGGAGGAAGAGTGGGAAATGTGAAAGGAGACAAGTAACTATCAGAAATACATTTTCAGCATAGGAAAATTATAACTTCTGATACAGTAAATTACTCCTTCTCACATAACTAGCTAGAATGCCATACTGAAAAAGTGGAGGTTCCAGTGCAAGGGAAAGAAATAAGTATCCTTCAAAAGCATCTGAAGGACAATCCCAAAGAGATCTTCGGTGTCAAAGATCATATGTGGGAGACCACGCCACTTCTGTACCAGGTATACTCTTTGCCCAGTGTGGAAAAAGGTGTCACAAGGAGTAGCACATCCAGTAGGGAGAGAACTATGGTTGGATCTGAACCACAAGATATATGAATCTCAATCCCATAATACATAAATGTGGGTGAGAGTAAGAGGATGTGCTTCCAGGTGTAGAGTGGCTAGGGAGCAACAGACCATACATGGCAAGTCAACAATATCAAAAACCCAGGCTGCTGGGAATCAACATCCACATCAGGGTAGGATGAGAATCATACCATCGGTAAGTCAACTACAATCCAAAACCCAGGCCACCAGAAACAGACATCCCTGTGGGGATAGGAAAGAGGATCATATCGCCATCAAGTTGACTGCAATCCGAAACCCAGCCATATGATGGGGAGGGGGAGGTAGGAAGGAGAATCATACCATCTTCACCTCAAGTTCATGAGGCCAGAGGGAATCTCATACCCCTTCCCCATGAATGGGTCATATGATAGCAATGTGAAAACATTTTATAGGAGGAAGGCAAGCAATATTTGGAGCAGGTAGGGTGGACTTCAGCTTCCAGGGGCTCACACCAATGAAATAAAGGGTAAGAAGTATAAATTATAAAGAATGACGAAAATGAAATAGTTGATATATCGGAAAAGTTAAGAAATTGTGTAGTGATATAAACATATGTATTAAAAATAAAAAATAAAAATTTTAACCTAACAATAAGTATGTATAAAAGTGAATATGAAGAAGTTTAACAGATTAGCAATAACAAAAATTAAATAAACGTTAATTTATAAAATGAAGGAAGTGTGTATTAACAATAACCTGTTTATGACATGTGATGAGTGGAAGAAAAACAATATTGGTAGACAAATGATTGACATATCAAGAAGATTAATTACATGTAATCCTAAAAGAACAAAGACTCATTGTAAGCCTAAACAAATGGCATAGGAGAAACAATACAACTAAGCCTAATGTATAACCTGAACTGGACTATGAGTATCGACCAATCTAACAAAACTTATTTTATACAACTCAGATAACTACAAATAACAATATTAAAAAATAAAAGTATTCAAAAACCATAACAGTATAACATCTTTTCTTTCCAAAACTGGTAGATTGTATTTCAAAATTTGTGGGCCCCCAAACTCAAAACGAAACCCGACAAAGGTCAGCTCATTGTATGATCAATATCTCAATGAAGTTAGGCCAAGAAGTTTCCCATAAAGTACCATGACCTGAAGTCTGTGTAAATGTAGTGATAAAACATGTAACCTCTGAAGTGGTAATGTAGAATTAACAATGCAAAATGAATAACCAAACACAACTGTGTTGGCAGAAAGAAAAAAAAACTTTTTGTAATGAAGTAAAAAGTTCCATAATCAAGTAGAAACATATAATTCCACTTCAGAATAACTCAACAAGTTACAAATATCTGTACTGTCTAATAAATAGTAACTGATTGAGAGAAATTACTACAAAGATATGGAAATAAAACACTTTGTTACGTCTCCGTTTGTTAATTGATTTTTTCGTAACTTCGTTCCAACGAAACTTTAACGACACAAGTCTTTACTTAATAAAACTGGTTTATTCTTTCCGAATATAACTCTGCGATACACTTAATCTCAATACTCGCGCTAAAACAACACTGTAACGAACGAACGTTAACCTCAACAATACCGTGTGACTGCAGTTCAATTACTCACTATCTATACACTTTACCGCGTCACGTTGTCCCCTCCTATATATATATCCGCCCACCCTATATCTAGTAAGAACTTGAACATTCGCCAAAGTACATGATAGTTCTAGAAACGTTGCATCATAGTAGTCACGTGACTCGCTGACACAACAACTTGAAGAGAGCACAAAATATACATTACAACATGAGTACTGCCAAATGAGAAGTGACAGTTTGGTAGAATTGAAAAGAGGGAGTCACATGCATCAAGAGAGTATGTCACATTCTTATTGGTGGAGGGTTAACGCATGATTATTTGCATGTGAGACACGTTTGAATCAGTCAGTTGCTGATGTGGGAGCTTCAAGGCTTGTGGCATGGACAAAAAATTGTTTTGTATATAGAGGGCAGCACTGAACGAAAATATTTATTTATGTGAAAAGAGGTATGTACCATATCAGAATTTATTACAATACTTGGAAAGATCAGACTTTGAAATATTTAAGCTTCACTGTTTGTCTATCACGTTCTATTAAATTCACTAACTGGTGGAACGAGTTAACATTTTTCTACTACTTTGCCCACCACCATTTTTTTTTCTCATTTCATATAAGCCTAAGCATTTAACGGTTTAATAAACATACAGGTGGTACACATAAAAGCCATTTAAAACATCATCTGGGCATTATTATTATTATTAAGGCACTATAAAAATTTAAAAAATTGAAGATAAAGTTTTATCACTTACACAAAACACATAAATGTGACAAATTCCAATAAATTTATACTTTTCTTCAGAACATGTTAATTTATATTACTTTTGAGATTAATTTAATAATTTTTTTCATTATCAGAATACTATAAAATAAATATAATTTTCAACAATATACTGATGCACTGTATATAAGACATAAGCCAAGCTTACCACATCAGGAACTATATTACTGTTTTCATCATCCATGTTTCCTTTTTTCAAACTGTAGGTAATGAAAAACATACACATAAAAATATTTGTAAACAAACCTTTAAAATTTTTAAATGTTTCATTCAACTACACTAGAAAAGTTAATAAGATTTACAATTAGAAAAAAAATATATATATATACACTATTACATGAAGCTGTATTTAATTTACCTACAAGAATAAAAATTACACATTCTTGTAAAGGTTTCTGTTGTTGAACAGGTGTTTTTTGGCATTTGGTCACAAATGAATTCAGTTTTATTTCTACAACTAAAAGTCCTACACTTACATGGTTTTTTAACTAATAATAGGCCTTACTTCAAAATAAATAATGCCTCAGTAGAAATTCTACTTACTAATTTTCTCATATCTATATTAATTTGAAAAAAACAAGAAACTGAATAACCACTCATTTATCAATAATAAAAATCCTGTAACAGACTCACAAATCAATCATCAAACAACCAAGTTCACACACATTTTATATGGCTCAAATTGTTTTCTGAACTTTCAAAATTCTGGTTACTTTGGCAAACCCATTATGTGAAAACACCCTCTGGTAAACAAAGATATAAATGTCTACAAAACAAGTATCATACAAAAATATATTTGGGATAACATATGCATGCATTTGAGTACAGTGTACTACTTAACTAATGTGCATCATTTCAAGAGTTACATTACATACATTAGATAAAGAGTTTTACAATATATGAAAACAGCATAGTTAGTACAACTAAAGATGGTAACCAGGAGCCTGAGAAACTCACCTGAAAGAACATTGCAAACTTTTCTTTCTGATCCCTCATATAGTATGATGAGGTACAATGTATGTACTACACTACGATTATGACTCAACTACTTAATCTAAGGCAGCTGGAATGAGTAGACCTAACACCTAATAAACCAACAATTTGAATAATTGAAGATGGTAAGTAGAAGTTTGAAAATTCAGCTGAAAAGGCTTTGTGAGCCTCGCTTTCAGATGAGATTTTGCAGTATAAGCATTACCTTTTGTGAATGTCTCTTGACTTATTTCATAAGCTAGAATGGTTATGTTGTTGAAAAATCAATAACTGAAAAGGTGCTGCAACACTTACTTCCTGAGCTATTGAATTAATTTTCTGATCGGAAACATCACCCAATGTTTTAAAAGAATTACTCCCTTTATTTTGGCTGAGTGGCAAGAACACAATGGAGTATAACTGGAAAGTATGCTGATTCTGCAACAGTAACAGCATAAGCATTAATCCTGAATGATGAGAATTTTTGCTAAAAAGCCTTTGTTTGGCTGAATTCCACCAATGATTATTTGTTTCATGAAACTTGAAATGAAAAACAAATAGTCTAATGACTCTGAGATGACAACAAATTACAGAGCCATAACTACCACGATATATCTTTGGAAGGTAACCCAAGAAGGTTACCAAAGTAATTTACGTGACAGTCGGAGGCAATCTGCTATATGCTACTAGAATATGTGAAGATGTGTAATGGTGATATGTGTATAGGACAATATCTGTAAATAAATGTGTGTGCTGTCTTTCACATCTGTTAACATAATAGTCCTTCATGACTGCTGGATAACACAAATGGATTAAGTAAGTAAAGAACACAACAGTAAGTAACATGCACTTAGAAACAATGGATTTGAACTGATATGTTAAGATTTTGTGAGATGAAGTTCACTGGAATTAATGACCTGGAAAATATTATTTGAAGATACATTGTACCTGTTATTTTCATTAATGCTTACAAAAGAATGTTTCAATTTTGAAGTTGAAATATTCAGCAGGTAGTGAATTTTCACGAAAGAGATAACACTAACATAGAGACTAATTCTACATCTGAGAGAAAATAGTTTTACCTCGTGTTTTTCATGAAGATTAGGGCAATATATTTCAGTCAGATTGAATTGAAATATTCATGATTAGGCAAAACTATCAATAGTAAATGAAATTCAAAGACAATAGTTTAGACATCAGCACAAAAATAAACTTGATGTACCCACTGTTTTATTTGGTTGTGATTGAATATATTTTAAGTCATGCAGATTGAAATGTTTTTAATAAACCCACAGTTTTACTGAATATTTTCTTGACATTGTTTCAATACAAGGTTCAAGAATAACACATGAAAATGCAACATCTAAGTGTACTAGGGAGAGATGGAAAGTAACTCCAGCATAGTAAAAGTCTTGAAGGTTGTACGAAAAATAATACTAAATTTGCGAATGAAAGAAGGCTCCTAAAGTAAGACAATATAAAAATGTGTGGATTCTAATGCCCAAAAAGAAAGACTGGCATCACCTAACACAAGTCAGGACATATGTAGGAACCAGTTTGCAATTTCAACCCCCTATTCCTTGCTATTGGAACTGGGCACTATTTGTGTGACAAGTCAGTACAAAAACGAATGAGGCAGGATTGCAAAGTAAGCTGTGTTATCTGTTGTCCAAGAGAGAGATCAGAGGGCAATGTGGCTAGAGAATCAGTCAATCACAGACACAATGAAGCCTGAAGAACAGTAATTTCACAGACATTAGTGATGCATCCTTTATGCGTGATATAGGACATAAATGAAGGAAGCCAGAAGAAATGTCATTTAACTCACGTTTAGAGTTGTTAAATTGTCTATGAGGGATTTTAGAGCATGTCATAACTGTAATCAAGTAGTTATGACTCTTTTCAACCTATGCACTTAGCTGAGCTTTTGACAATTTGAATTCAACTGAAACTGCTTCTCCAATCCAGACTTTCACCACTTATGTTTGAATCTTTAACCATTCTGGCCATCTCTTTTCTTCAACCAACTAGTGGTCAGTTATATTGCCTTATTTCTGGAGTTCCTGACACCAATTGTTTGAATTGCATGGTGTCCCACTTCATTGATGACCAGTATACCCAGGATTCCTTCCACTATGAAGAAGTGGACCAAACCATAGAACCTTGGTTTCCAGGAGCCAGCCTTATATTTATGATTGCTGAACCCACAAATGATAATGTATTGCTGGCCAGTGAATCAGACATGGGAAATGAAACCATGATTTTACTGGATTGGCCCTGAAGTTTCAGGAGTCAAGCAGCCCCCATCAGAAGCAATAGGACTAAAGAAATTAAAGCATCTACTCGATACACCAGTCACAGAAAATTATAGTGACAACCACCTTATTAACCTTGGAGGAACCAAACCTCCAAGCAGCATAGCAACTGATCACTCAACCATAACCTTTACTGGTGAGTGAAAGGAGGAGCCAGTATTGGCAAGAAGAAGCAGGATCCACTTGTATGATGTCTCATCGGAGAATGAAGAGTCTTTACTCATAATACTTGTCAGATGTGCTTGCACCTTTGATAGGCACACTACATTCTTAAACTGAAGAAAACTTTCCACAGCTTTGATTCTCTCAATGGTTGGCCAGGCTCTGGGAAAGTCAGTATGTGATAGGTCCCTGGCTGACACTGAAGTCCTATCCACCCAGGCTAATGCCACTGATGCCACCACAACTGTAATGCAGGTGACCCAACCAGTTTATGGGTCTTCTCTTAAACCACCACCACTGAGGGCCTGTGAAATTAACAAAGGGGCATTAACTCTTTAAGCATGGGCTTGGTCACTGCGACTGACCACATAACCATTTTGTGTTTGTTATAGTTTCATGCTATAACTTTTAAATCAGTCAGTGAATGTTAACAAAATTTGGCACATTAACAGTAAACATCACAATGCTTTCATACACAAAATATTTTGTTTATTAAGTCTTAAGTTTTGTAAAGCAATGTTTTTCTCATGCCTTTGTTCTTTTCGCATGTTGTCCATCTAACATGCAAAGTAATTTTCATTTTAAGATTAAAAATACTTTTATGCATCATAAAACTTTCAAATTTCACATGCAAAATCTTTATAATGTCCAGATAGGTGTCAAAAGTTTCTTAAGAAAAAACTTTATATTTTATTTGTTATTTTCAGTAATGAATCTCTGTACAGGTTAGTAGATTTGACCGATCTCATAACAACCATAAAAAATTAGGAAATAAATATAAATTATGCCTCTTTCATTCTAGAATGACAACCATATTATAACACGAAAACATAAATGTTTAGACTAAATAGCTTAAATCTTATACATTTATACATTTTTATTATATTGACCTTTCATCTGTGCCTGGCTAACAATACAGAAGTTACATTGATGTGGCTCTTAAGAAAAAAAACTATTTTATCTGTTATATTCATTAATTAATCTCTGTATGGGTTTGGTAGATTTGACCGACTTCGCAACCACCATGACTAGTGTTGAGTTGAAGTTTAAAATCTTGTAAATGTCATCTATATTTTCAAATGACTTTTGATTAAAGAAGCACCCAGGAATAAATTATAATCCAATCACAGCAAGATTATATTATGGGGGTTAGTTAGGAAGTACTTTTATGAAAGATCTAGGAAATATAATTTGTGTCCACTAATAAAAACCAAAAGCTCAAGAATGAGATGTTGCCAATGAAAAAAATAAACATCAAATATGGGTCCACTGCATATAGGCCATTGTGTATTTTTGTGCTTGAATAACAAAATTATTAAAAACATTAATTCTGACTAAAAAAAATTCAAATAATTGTTCTTTTTAGATGTTTATTTGCCACACCTTAGAATTTTCAAATGATACCCTACATCAGTAAACATATTTCTAATATGAGTGTGTAGGTGACAACCTGAAGAAACACGAGACTGATTTTGTAATGTGATTAATATTTTACTATTGATGGTGATCATTGTCTTAATATTTTTTCTTTAATCAAATAAATTAAGGAACAGTGTGTGTGTTTATAAACTTGATCATATATGTTTTTATAGGATATTTCAAAGCCACACGAAAACTTGAATATTAATGTTACTAAATTATGACTCATCATCTACCTTATGAAGTGAAATACTATATTTAAAACATAACAGACTAGGTATTGATAGAGAGGGAAAGTTTCATTTTGTATGTGTGTGATTTATGTTGGTGTATGTTTTTAAGTTTTGTTTTTTATAATTGATTGGTTTCAATGAACTGTGAAAAAGATGCTGATGTAAAATATATCTTGCAGATAAAAGTGATGGTGGTATAATTCTTGTTGGGGATTTTTTCAAAGCAGCAAAAAAAGGTTTGTTTTATACTTATGTGATTTTATGGTGATTAGTTTTATTCAAACGCTTTTTAGCATATTTTAATTTATTACAAATATTTGATTTGTTGTAAGATTTTGGTTCAAGGATGAGTACAGAAACTGGTGCTAAAGATGGTATGTTAATATGTATTAGAAACATTAAGCAAAGTGTTTTTAAGCAGCTCTTTCAGTAATGTTATAGATAGTTAAGGTGCCTACAGTGTATTAACATTTTAAACTTATTACACAATGTGATGAAAGATCAGGATAAGAAACAGCATCAGCTTTTGAAGTTAGTTTCCAGTTTCTTGCCACCTTTCAGTATTCAAATCATAACTTTTAAATTTCCTGTACTATGTATAAAAATAGCATTCCAGATAAACTTTTGTCTCACCATTATCCAGTCTAGCTTTTGGCAGACAAAAAATAGACCTGAAATTTCTGTTTTTACACTTTTCTGAGGTGGAAGTTTTTAACAGACGAATGAAGAGGAATATGAAAAACAATGTAATTTCCAGTCTAACATTATACATTATGGGTTAAGATCAAGACTATTAATTTACATAACCGTGTTGATTACCTTTTGGACAAGATCATTGTTATCTTACAAATTAATAGGTAATTGTTTGTATCTGTATTTTATGTGCTGGAACTTACAAGATGTAACCACTATTAGTAGGGTATAACTAACCAAACAAACAACCAATATTCTGACATAGTTTATGTGATATTCATGAATTTGCTTAGACAATGTTTCAGAATTTAGAAGTGTCACAAAAGTAAATCATTACTTGTCCCATTTTTTGGGGGGGGGGGGTTGTGATGGATAAATGAATACTGTGACAGACAACACAACCATGTGGATTCCTTTTGATGCTATTCACAGAACTTGTTAGGACCATGAAGTCTGGGTGTTCACAAAGAAACGAGTTTTTGAATTGTATTATTTTTTTTCATAGATGATTATTGTTTTGTTTAACTATAAGTGTATCATGTTTTTAGCCTGTTCTGGGGATGGTAACATCAACATGCCCTTCCTGTGTTTGGACTTGACCTATATCAGCTCTTTACTTCATGATGGTTTTCAATTTGATTTAAACAAGGAGATAACTGTAAGTTCCTTTAAAGAACCCATCATAATATAGTTTTCTCTACATTGTTTAAATTCATATATAGACTTTAGATTTGTATTAGACAAAGTGTGTAATTTATATTTTGAATTGTAGCATTTCTTAAACTTGTAGAATACTCCACAAGTCTGTTGCTCAGACAAAAATACAATATGTAGTGTTGGTTTAGTAATAGTGGTCAAAATGTTACTTTATAACTAAATAATATTGTATGTGTTATAAATGTTCATAAATAAATCAAATTTTGAGTGAGTGTAGAGTTGGGCTTAAGGAAGTAACTGAGGGTATATTTGATCCTTCTATCCAGAACATGTTCTGGATGGTCCTTCCCAGAAAGTTAACATTTCCAGTATGGCAGAGAATGAATTAGCCCACTTCACTTTTCTTTTTTTTTTTTGTTTGCTGAGCCAAGTAATGATAAAACAGGAGTCTTACCAAATATTTGTTCACAATTTTATGAAGTATATAATTATTACACACTCACATAAAGCTAGTTACCTTCCATCACATTTCTAAATCAATTGTGTAGCCTAAACATCTTCATTGTGGTAATTTTTCAATACATGCTATATTGATACACTTTCTCTACCATATTGATGATGTCCCTGTTCAGAATCACTTTATTATTCAAGGCAATAAACAGAGTGTACTGTGAGTGCTATAGATGGTTTTGTTTTCTATTTCTAGCTTGTTAAGAAGATCAACACATTTGAAACAAGCTGGGGACTTGGAGCAGCCTTCAGTCTACTAGCCTAGATCGAAGCATCGTTTTTACCATGGACTGTACCAAATTCGAAACTTTACTGATTTGAATTGTGATCTTTACTGTGTACTATAGCAAATTAAAAACTATAACAGAAACTTTTTTTATTTGTTAGTGTCACACTTTAAAATACCTTGAGGTTATCAAACGGCTACTAACGATTTTTTTATAAAAGGAATATGTAAGTAAATAATATATTATTTTGTAAGTGTAAGTGTACTGTGAAACTTATTTAAATGTCTTACTTAAAGCAAAAACCATAAGAGAATTACAAATAATTGTGGAAACAAGTTAAACTATACAGAACAAGAAAGAAATGTTACTCTTTAATGTCCACCCAATGAACATATTTCAATGGCTGTATAGACCAGATTTTGATTTGAAATATATATATATATATATATATTGTAAATAAAATTGTAAATATCTTAAATTCTGAAGGATGCTAAAGAAATTTCTCCCTAGGTTAACTCATGGATAAAATAGTTATAGTTTAGTAACCGAAAAAAATTTCTTAGTTGAAAGTTTTTCTGTTTCTATTTTAATAAAATGGACACCAGGTTTCAAGTATGCCAATGTTGAAAATGAACATAGCAGTAATACTTAAGAAAATACAGTTAAGTTTAAATAAAAGTTGTCACAATTTTATTGAATCTTTTACAGTATTACTTCTTAATGTATGTTACCTAAATCCAAAGAAAACCTTTTCCTGCTTTGTGTCTTTAGATCTTCCTATATGTGCTATTTATTTTTTTGTAGTTAGGGAAAACTTTTCTGCTTGCTTACTCAGTAAGACTGAAATAAAGGTATTATTTTATTAATTATATTGTATTTGTATTGAGTAAGTGCTTACATATAGTTACTCATCCATCCATTTGACAGTAACACTTGTAAACTACTGAACAATATTCAGGAAACAAGGTTCCATAGGTAAATTGTTTTTTGTTGAAATAAACTGAACTTATATTGGTAATTTCAACTCAAATTAGTCAAAAGTAGGGTCTGGTTGAGTCATCATGTCTGAAATTCTCATTTGCAACATTATATTCTCAGTAATAAGTACAGGGCTGTCCTGGGTGTGATACAGTCCCCGCATTTGCAGTGGTCAAAATTATTATGCATGTGTTTCTAGAATTTGTATATATGATGTGCAAAGAAGCTGCAGATGTTGTATTTGAATAGATCAAGAATTCTTCTGGTCAGTCTATTACTTCAGTGGTTTCTTCAGAGTAGTCCGTCATAATGTTGGTAGTGTAATAAAAGGCATATTTTGTTTTGCATTAAGAAATCTGTTCAAGATTCTGCTTGTGGTTCAGTAGTAGTAAGTCATCTTTTTGCAAATTTCGTGAAATTTCTCATAACTGTCATTAAACCAATAACATTCAACTATGTTATACCGATTGCACCATTAGTATCTGGCTGTTCATGAATAACCTTGATTAATTTGTAAAGATTACATATGACTAATGGAACTGGTCAAACGACAAAAACAGTGTGGTCAAGCTGAACCTATAAAGTCTATTCCTTACTGTTTGAGCTGTGATAATTACTTCACTTGCTTTCTTGAAGTTTGCATTAAATCCATGAAGCAGTGATTCCTAAAGATCATGTTTTATAAATATTTGACCATCTACAATCTTCCCAAGTTTTTAATGTAAAGACAAATTATTTGTTTATGTGTCTACAACCTTCTGAAAAAACCATATACACCAAAATAACTTCTCACTTGCCTCTGTCCAGTTTTCAATATTTAAACAAACAAAAACTGTTTCTCTTATCAAATTTCTCTTTCCACCAGCAGATAGCGTATTACATAATTATGTGAATATCGTACCCAGAATTGTAGTAATCATCAAAATAATAAATCAAATATGAAAAGAAAATGGAATTACTGCAAGTACCTACGAGTGGTAACTTTAGCCCAGAAGTTAGGTTTATATTTATTCAAACTTGAATTTTCATTAATAAAGAATCTTGGTAAGAAAGGCTAAAGCAAATATCTGTACAGTAATCGCACTTATGGATATAATATTCTTTTTACCGGATCACCAAGGTTTTTTCACATTACCAAACAATTTCCATTTTCTGGCCAAAACTCTGCAGCCTGTATTTTTCTGTGATATTTCCCGTTTTAAAGCATAGAAAAACGAATGCAGTAGATGCGTATTTTGCAAGTTTTGTTTTAAAAATTGATGATGTAATGATTTAATAATTTTGTATAGTGAGTAGAAAGTGAATCATATTTTTGTTTGTTTTATTGAATTTTGAGCAAAGCTAATCAAGGTCTATCTGTGAAGTGATTGACTATAGGGAAGGCAGCTAGTCAATAACACTCTCTGCAAACTCTTGGGTTACTCTCTTCTTTTTTTTCTCTCTCTCTCTCTATTACCAACGAACAGTGGAGTTGAAAATCACATTATAACACCCTCATGGATGAAAACGTTAAAGTATTGATATCAGAAGTGGGATTATTTTGGTGAAAATAAAATAGAACTGACTAAATGTCAACTTCAAGTTAAAGAGTATGGATGAAGATCAAAACTTTGTTTTAGATGAAGAAAAAGTCAAAGAAGAAAGAGACAGAAATTTAAAAAAAAGAACAAGGCAGTAAATGGAAAGAAGAAAAAACAAAAGTTAGAGAGAGAAAAAAAGACAGAAGATGAAGAAGGAAGAGACAGAAATTTAAGAGAATAGTAAAAAGGAGAGGTAATATTTAAAGAAGAATGGAGAACAAAAACAAGGATGATCAGTGCAGCTATTGAAAAGTACTGAGGAATAGTAACAACAAAATTGAAGAATAAAAAAGTAATGACGAAAATTTAAGATTTACAAAAAAAGATATATATGAAATACAGAGAAAAGAACATCAATGCAAAAATGGAAGAATAAAACATTTGGAAAATGTACTAGTAAATGCAGAGATCAATCCAACTACACCCATTTCTGCATCTGCCCAAGAATTCCAACCTAAAACTTCATTTACTATAAAATATGAAATCGAAAAGCTATTTCACCCAGGCCCGGCATGGCCAGGTGGTTAGGGTGCTCGACTTGCAAGTTCGAATCCCCGTCACACCAAACATGTTCGCCCTTTCAGCCGTGGGGGCATTATAATGTGACAGTCAATCCCACTATTCGTTGGTAAAAGAGTTGGCGGTGGGTGGTGATGACTAGTTGTCTTACACTACTAAATTAGGGATGGCTAGCGCCCTCGTGTAGCTTTGTGCGAAATCCATAACAAACAAACTATTTCACCTACACCTGTACCAATACTGCTGTTACAGCAGGTCCTTCCTGGATTTCTCCAGCCTGTAATAGAAAGGTACCATAGTCTAGAAGAAATTAAAAGATTAGGTAGACAACTAGTTACTCAAAATTAAACTAAAAGACAATAGATTTTTCAAGTGGTCTTTAATAAAATATTGTCAGGAACTACACACAAAAGCCTGTATGGAATAAAAACTCTCCCAAAGGAAGCTGTTATAAATGTGGGAAACATTTCCATTACTGTTGAAACTTCGAGCCCAACTAGATCAAAGAAACAACAAAGAGTAAGCCTAATACTGGTGAACAAGAATTAGGTGATCTTATGGGCAATGTTCCGCTGAGAATACTCCATCTGCCCTAAACGAGACACGTATCCATATATTTATTCATGAAAAGCCTTGCAGTATGTTCTTTGACACTGGTTCTATAGCTATGATTGTTTGACCTGATTTGGTAATGAAAGGTGGAAATTGTCTCCAGGAATGAAAAAATAAGATGGATTTATGCAAAAAGCAAGTGGACAAAAAATACAGTTGGTATTTCCACAGTCTCTACATGCCAAAGCACTCCATCGGTACCACAACCTTTCAACAGCTGGACACTTATGTGTTAAAAACATATTGGAGAAAAAATGACAGAATGCTTCTATTGAGTTGTATGCTGGGTCTGTATAAATATTTAGTGTAAATCCTGTGGATTATGCTATGAGAAAAAAGGTCCATGAAAGAAACGGTATGGACTGCTATAGCATTATTGTGTTGGAGCACCGCTTGAGAGAGCTGCTGTTGATGTGCTTGATCAATCTGTTACAGAGTGACTGTGGAACAAATACATTAATAAACATACCAAATAGCCAGAAGCATATGTCATTCCTAACCAGGAAGCAGAAATTAGCAAGAAAGCTTGTCAATGAATGCGTTTCAATATTTATGGTGCCTATGATGATTTCAAGCCAAAGGTCATACCATCGTTGCCTATGGAAGTACTTTGGTGAGATAACAGCAAGATGAGTACTTTATGAGAACCACGTGTCAGCAAAAACTGACCTCAAAACCCAGGAAGGTGACAGCGTTGTAAGTAAGGTATATTTTTAATATTTTAATTTAAATGTTTATTTGTTAGAGGGAGCTAATCATGATGACGGTGTAACGATCTAGAAATTTCGTCTAGTAAGTAAAAAATGAGAATAATATAAATTGATATTAACTTTCGATCAGAGCAAACGATTAGGTCGTCAAGATATTATTGTTGCGTTTTGGAATATTTCCATTACCCCCCCCCCCCTACCCACACACACACAAAACGTACCTTACGTATAATAGTTAAACCAACGGCCTAACCCTCACGTTAGTGTGGCCTATATAATGTGTAAAGTTTAGTATACTCTAATCCCACATAGTGATGGTACACGACGAGACACACATTCGGAAACAACGCCTCTGTAGCCACAAATAATATCAAAAACGTTTAGGGAAATGTTTTGAAC